TGGGGAAAGGAAAAAAAAGATGGGAAGAAATCCCACTTTTAAGGTGTCTTTGCTCCTATCTGAAGACTACTCGGTGGTCTGACTCCTGACTGCAGGCTCAGTTCCAAGTCTCCGTGCTGACACGGAGACGGAGAAACAAACTGTATTTTTAGTTTTAACATCAATGCTTAGCATCTTTCACAAACTTCAACGGCCAATAGGTGGGCTTATTTTCAACCGCATTATTACTAAAAGCAAAATACTTGCAATATGGAGCACTTCCTGGCTGTGTTTTCCAAACTGCTTTCAGGTTCTGGAGAGGTACACTTCCCAGAGTGTGGCTGAAAGGGTACACATTTATACCTGCAAGTAAATACCAAACCTATCTGAGGAGAAAAATGTACATCCACAGCTACTGATCTAGAAGCAATTGGTTTTTCAGCAGGATCCTATATTTAATCTAAATTCTGCACCAGCTATATTAAATGTAACAAAGAAATGCAACCCAGAAATTATGCCTGGAGCCAAGTCCATTAAAGGTACTTCGGAATAACTAGAGCCCAAGCACCTTAAAAGCACCAGAAGCTATTTATACCTAAGGGGGGGGGGGTGCTGTGCATAATCGCAACCACTGCATTAGAGAGGGGAGGGAGAAAAAAAAAAATCAGCCAAATTACGCTTGGTTAATTCAGAGTAACAGATCTGCCCCCAAGTGAATTGGAGGCCTTGAATTAATTCTGTTATGACAAATCAAGATAAACGTTCCCCCTAAATTGCATGCGATTTAATTAATTTTTGAGATCCTGCTTTTTTTTTTTTTTCTAGCTAATAGTTCACATGCTCCTGTGCTGTCATTGTGCTTGAGTGGGCAGACTTCAAAGTGATATTAAATAACCAACTATTAGATTTACCTAGCACGTCCTATTGGAAAAGTGCCATTTAATTACCTAGCCTGTTCAATTAAAGGGACAGCATTCTCTGAATATAGCAGCTTGCTGTTGATTACCAGGGAAATGAACTCTTTGCCTGGCGGCGTCTCCAAGCCTAAGGCGAATCCCCTCCCCAAACACACCCTCCATCTCCGGCCACCCTCAAAGCCCGTGCCTGGGCCCGAGCTCAGCTCACTGCGGCTGCCGGGCGGAGCTGGGGACACCAGCGCCACCGCGCCGGCTCCTGCCCTGCGCTCGCCCCCTCGCGGCCCCGCGCCGTGGGCCCGGCCCACCCACTCGCCTGCTCTGACCGGAGCCCCACCCGACGGCGTCGGAACTTCCTCCTCTGGCCGCACTTTCCGCGCCAGTCACCCGGCCCGAAGTGGGGGTGGAGGAAAGCATGTTGGGGGGAACAGGAGTTTGCAAAGCTACTCCATGGCGCTTGGGTGGAGCTGGGGGGCCAGAGGCGGGGGAGGGAGGGGGCAGCTCTGAGGTTCCTCGACTTCTGGAAGGTGGAGGGGGTCAGGCAGACGTGGGTTCCTTTAAGATCCACCCTCCCCCTCCACTCTACAACCAGCTCCCAGCCTTTCCCTCCCTCTCTTAGAGGCCAATTTTGTTAATTAAATGTTTTGTTTGCGACGAAGCTCTCATTCATTGCGGACACGTCATTCGAAGTAGATCTAAGCCAGAGACCAGATCTCATTAGATAAAGCCCATCAGAACTAAGAAAATGGAGGAGCCACTAATTAAAGCTTTTAATTGTGCAGATTCGCTGCAGCAAGGCCGCTGCTTTATCTGAAATCTTGGAGGAGAGGAGGCAGAAACTCAGCTCTGCCCAATCGACACTTGGCCGCGTAGTGGGGGAGGGAATGAGGGAAAACCCCTCCCTCTCCTTCCCCTCAGCTTTGTAGCCAGACCCTGGTTGTTTAATAAACAAAACAAAACCCCTGAAAGTCAGACAGTGTAAAATAAAAGCCCCTTAATAGAACTGCCCTGTGGTCCCAGACAGGCAAAGGGGTTCCCTCCACCTAGTGACTTGCAAAGGAAGCATCCCACTCCTACTCTTCAGTGGTCCTCAATCTCTGAAGAACTGAAAGCACCACCCTCACACACACACAAGTGGATTTGGGGGGCTTTGGGGAGCGGGGGTAGCGAATGCCGGCACATTCTTCATTTTCCCACCCTTTGGGTTCCTTGAATGACAAGAGAGAAAAGCATGATTTCAGGTATCTCCATGGGCTGAACAGGAGGCTGGGCTTGGCGTGCCCTGATCAAAGTGTGAGGCTATCCATGATCCATTTGGCACTGAACTAGAATTCGTCCCTCCGAAGCAGACAAAAGTTTCTCGGGGTGGCATCTAGTTCTAGAGCAAGCCTAATCCCAAATTCAGAGGCAAAAAAAAATAATAATAATAATAATAAAAATAAAATAAAATAAAATAAAAATAAAAAAAGAAAGCAGGACTCCAAGATTACTTAGAGCCCCATGTACATCCTCCACTCGACCCCCCCCAAAAAAAAAACACCAAAAAGACATTATTATTTAGCCCCAATAAGGAAAGGAATGGACCTCATTCCCAGGAAGCCACTTGCCTAAACTTGTCCCATGGGAATCCAAGTGGACCCAGCTCCAGTTTAATTAGCGGTAATCAGAAGCGAAGAAGGGCTTCTTTTCCCCCCCTTTTGAAGACACTTGAAGAGATGAAACTGCACCATTCACCAAATCTTAACTGCACTGTCAATTTTTCCACTTGAAACCACCATCCTTTCTTACCACACTTTTGTCTCCACTTAATTACAATACTGTCAAAGCTCGTGGCATTGCTTGGGAAGAGAACCAGAAAGCATTACACCCAAGCGCCTGCTGATTTTTCCAACATTTGCTTCTAAAAGAACACTTAGTGAAATTAATACAACCCTATTAATTTAAAAATAAAAGGCCTCCCCCCACCCCCATGCTTCTTCCACTTGACTGACTGAGGATGTCAGCCCAGTGGATATAGGTTGCACTATCAGACTAACCAAACGTCGTTTTACTCCAGTGGTATCAGCAGAGTCAAACACACCCATACTCAGCTCCAAAGTGCACGGAGATCTTGGGCGGCATCAGCCACAGATGATGATAAGCACATCAGGGCTAACCTTTGAATAAAATAGCTCATCCACTGATTTACCAGCGATGAAGACAGAACTGGATTTTCTACTAATCACTACCCAGACAAAGGTTTAGAGCAGGAACTTAAATAGAAGAATTCTTTCAAGCCTGTTTTTTTTTTTCCAGTGGCATCAGTGTGTGTGTGTGTGTGGGTTTTTTTTTAATTACTGGATGTTGAAACAGAACACCTCCTAGAAGCATTCATGTGCGTCAGTCTATCAAACCATTTACTCAAATTAAATGTGTAATCCTTCAAATGCCTCCTTTCAAATTAATGAGTTTAAGTAGCTTGAGTTCACCTGAAAAGATCCTACAGGCACCTGACCTCCCGAATTCTTTCCATTAGCTGCCCTGAAGCCTGTTGGAAAAGCCGGCTTGCAGGGACATAGACTGTTCCTATACATTGCTTTAAAATGCTAGATTAGCATAATCCTATCTTCTCTTTGGGGAATCAAGGGCAGTGCTACAAATGGCAACAACAACGAACAAACAAGCCCCAACATTCTTTAAATGAAAAACAACACAAATTCTCCGATAAAAGCCACACACCAAAAAGTGAGCAGACCAAACCCTTCCAGTGAGCCTATGAAGAAAAACACTACCACTAAGTCTTTTTATTTTATTAACATTATTATTACTTACTATAAAAAGAATTACAAATCTTTAAACTGATGGGTAATCAGTGTTTTTTTTCACAGAGAGCACTAAGAATGAGTCACAGCATTCTGCTCAAAAAAGTTGAAAAGTGCTTATGTAAATATCATAATTAGCCATCACTAGAGAAGAATAATTTCCCCACTAACTGCAGTTTTATTTTTAAGTAAACCTTTTGTCTCTGAGTGTCTACGTCGTCGTCCCCGCCTAGCTCTAAGAAAGCACCTGAACGCCTACATTTTAGACACGCTTACTTTTAGCCTGAACCCCAAGCTGAGGCTACACAGAATTTAATCCGGAGGCTGTGCTCAACCTTGGACACCTAACTGCCCAAATACCACCAGACCAAAGTTTTTAACCTTGGCATATCATAAAATATTGTAAAATTGAGGGATTCTTGAATCCCTTAAATGCCAGCAACTAAAGAGGTTTTTGTCTTTTTTTTTTTTTTTTAAGTGAAGTCTGTCATAGATCCCCACAGATGTTCGCACCTTCCTTAAATCCTTGGTAACCCTCGCTCCTGCTAGGCTCGCCTATCTAGCGGAGGCAGCCGACTTACCTAATGTAGTCATTTCTGCAGAGGATCATGCCGCTCTTGGTGTAACAGGACGTGCCGATGTCGCCCAGCTGCGCCTGGCAGCAGGAGCACTTGAGGCAGCGGCTGTGCCAGTAGCTGTCCATGGCATAGAGCAGAAAGCGGTCCGCAATCTTGCCCCCGCAGCCTGCGCAGCGCTTCCAGGAGAGGGAGCCGGCCGTCACCGGGGGCGGCTGCGAGCTGCTGCCCGGATTCACCATGGTCTGGAGGGAGAGAAAGACAAAACGGGCGATGCAAAAGTTAGAAGTCGATCGCGGGGCGCCAGAAGCCAGCGCGCTCCCCTCCTCCCTCCCCCGAGTGGCTGCAAGAGAAGCAGCAGCAGGGCCAGGGCGGGAAGGAGGCCGATCCCAGAGAAGGGAAGGAGGGAGGCTCGCCGGCAGCAGCCGCCTGTTTACTTTTCTCAAGCTTTGTTCTGGGGCCACGAGCTGCTCTCAACTTTCCAAAGCGCTCGCCGCCGCTGACAATTTCAGCTCAGGGACTGTCAAAACTCCGAGAGCCAGGCTCGGTGGCGCGCTCCACCCCTCGGGGCGCCTCCTCCTCCTCCCCCTCCTCCCAGCGCCCGCCTCCGCCCGCTCCTCCCGCCGCCGCCCGCCTCCAGCAAATGAGGGTCAAACCCACCCACCGCCGCGCCCGGCCCCTCCCCGGCCCCCGCCGAGCCCCGCGAGCCAGCCGCGGGCCGCTGGAGGTGGCCGCCCCGCCGCAGCCACGTTCCCTCCCGAGCTCTGCCTGGGGAAGTGAGGCTGCAGTTCACAAGTTGCAAACAGTTCGGGGTTTTCTGCAAGGCGGGGGTTGGGGGGCGGGAGGAGGAAGGGAAAGGCCGAGGGGGAGATGGAGGTAGTGGGAGGGGAAGCAAGGTGGCGGCGGCGGGGGGGGGGGGGGTTGCCGGGTGTAAAGTTGCGAAACTGGTTTTTCGTATTTTAAACAGCACCTTTCACATGCCATTGTGGTGACCGCCATCTCCCATTATTGTTCCAAATCTCATTTCATTTTGAAGATCAATGAGTGTTTTCAAGACACAGGCAAGGATAATAGATCATTGAACTTTAGGATGCCTGTTAACTTCCTATACAAACACTCTCCACTTTGGTCTCGCTAATCTGCCCTTGATCAGCAATTTAAATGCGAGAGCTTTGTTCCTCCAAAAGGGGGGGGGGCATAGGTAATATGTGAGGAGACATTATTGAGGGACCCACAAGTTAAATTCAAGCCAGTCCTGATGTCACCAAAAACTGCTTTTAAACGCCCCCACACCACACACACACACACACACACACACACACACACACACACTTTCTAATGAATGCCACAAGAGAAGCATCTGGGGTATAATATAGGAATCAATTTATAAAGCTTAGCTTAAACCGATTAATTTGTTGCCTCCAATCCTGAGTCCAATAAAGTCCTAGTGTTTCTCCAGTCACTTATTCTATAAAAAGATCAAGTTATTTACTGCCAATTAAGGAGCTTGTTTTGTCTTTGTCCTCTGTAAGGCGAGAGTGTGGGCTCCCCCCCAGGCTCCCAGATATCTGCTCAGGACGTTCAGCTGATACCGTAGAAAGGAGAGGGCGAACTTTGTCTGTCCCCAGCCCAACTTAACTGCTGCAAAGAACCGGGAGAGGGAACGAAAGAAGGACTCCGGTTCCTTAAATAGGCCGATTTTAAACACATTTCCTCCGAAAGAGTCCCGGAACGTGGGTCCAGTGACCGCACAATAAACCAGAATAAGAACTGCACCAATTAAGCTGTAACAAAACCCTGAGACTCTGGAAACAGGACCGCTCTAAAACCCATTAGCATTGCATTTATCCGAATGCATCATACCTTTATGTAAATTGATTTATCTGATGCATTTACTCGAGGAATTGCTTTTTGTTACAATTTCAGCCCTAACCCAAATGAATCTGCATTTCCTGCCCTAGGTCTTTAAACTCTTCCCCCCCCCCCAACGTTTTAATCGCTCCGAATTCCTTTTTAAAAGGGGAGGGGGAGGGAGGAGATTCCAAGCTGCTCCCCGCCCCCATCTTTAGTGAGAGGTAAATATATATGTATATTTTTTTGAAAAGGAAACATTACACTGAGAAAAGCATCCAGTAACCCCATTAGCTAAAGCTCTTAAGGACAAGCAATACCTTAATGCTGATTAAATCTAAAAGAGATGAATCAAGAGGACTGACCAGAAACTGACTCCCCTGATAACTAAGGACGGCCCTCATCAAGTTTCATTTAGAGTTGGAAAAAAAAAAAAAGAAAGAAAGAAAGAAAGCTTTTAAGTTAAATAGGCTTATACTCTAGTAATTACATAGCCAAGCAATTTAGGTCCTGGGATAGTCAGTGAAATAGAAAGCAGAGCTGGCAGCTAGAGGCAAAATCTGCCCCCTTTAACAACGTCTCTGGTGTTTTTTAATGGAGACCAAGGGAGGGACAAACGTAGCGCTGGCCATTTGTAGTACAAAAATGGATGCTTAATTCATGTCTTGATTTTAATTAGGTGATTCACCGGATTTCTCCTGGATTGGAACAAAAGACTTAGGAGCCAAGAGGAATTCTTTTAAAAAGAATCAGCAATGCCCGATCCTGGTCACTTGGAGCTTTTCGGTCCCTGTTTCAAATAGTGTTGGGGGGTCATGACTAACGCCCCCACCCACGCACACACCACTTCTTATCTAAGCAGCCCTGCCTTTCCTTTAGGAACTGGAACTGCCCCCGGCCCTCTCTCTCCAGGGTCCCCACCAGCCCCGTCTCCAAGAAGAACCCTTTTGTAAGCAAGGAACCGCTACAAAGCTGGCGGCCCGGGGCTGCCCTCCGCGCTAGCTCGCAGGCCGGCCTCGGGTAGTTTCAGAGTCACGCATTATCTAAGGCGACGTATTGTTTACTTGCAATTTGGGACGGTCAAGGGAAGGAAGCCAAAGAAAACAGCCCCGGCCCCGATCCGCCCCCCCCCCCCCCCCGCCTTCCTCCCACCCTCGCCCCCTCCGGGCCCGCGGCGCCCCCGGCCACCCCCTTACCTGCTTCTCCCCTATATTGCAATACTGCGAGAGGCGGCGGCGGCGGCGAAATGCGAGCGGAGCCGCTCGGCTTCCAGGGCAGGGGCGCCGGGGCCGGTGGAGCTGGAGGGAGGGAGGGAGTTCTCGCAGAGGCAGGAAAGGGGAGGAGGGGGCTAAGCGCTGCCCTTTTTTTTTTTTTTTTTTTTTTTTAATCGCGTGGCTCTGGGGCGGGTAGAGGGAGCCCCACGCTAAGTGGCAGGCGGCCCGGCTCAGAAGTGTCAAGTCTCAGCCCCGGGGTCCCGGTCCTCAGCCCCCGGCTGCGCGCGAGCAGCTGCAGGCGCCCTCGGCCCGGCCCGCGCGGCGCAGCGGCAGCCACTGCTGCAATCGCGGCTGCAAGTTTGGCAATGTGGCTTCACTTTGTACGCGCCCCCGCCCCCGCCGCGCCCGCGCTCCTCCTCCTCCGCCGCCGCCGCCGCCGCCTTCCTCCCGCCCGCCCGCCCGCTCGGGGCCGCCGGCGGCTCGGCCGAGCTTCCCCCCCCGCCCGCGCCCTGCGGCCCGGGAGCGGCGGCGCGAGCTCGGCCCCGCGGCCGCTGCGAGGGCGCACGGAGTGGGGAGCGGCGGGCCGGCCGGGAGCGCCCGACCGATCGGCTGCCCCGCTGCTGCTGGCCGGCTCGGGGGCGGGCGGCGCGGGCCTCTAGCCGGCTCGCTCGCTCCTCCGGCGGCGCTTACACATGTGTTACTGACAGAGCAGAATCCCAACTACTCCCCGGCTCTGCCGCCGACGTCAGCGACCCTCAGCCACTGGGCGGCCGGATTGTTCAGGCGGAATAATAAAACCTGCCAATCCGGGGAAGGACAAAGGGTGACTGAAACGAGACTCGGGGGGCGGGGAGCGAGGCGGGCGAGTGAGCGGGCCCGGCCCGGGAAGGCGGGGGGCCGGGGTCGGGGGGCCCGCGGGGGGCGCGGGGGACGCGGCCGGCGCGCGCGTGCCCCGCGCTCGGGACCACACCTGCCCGGCCAGCGCGCGGGGGGACGCGCGGACCCCGCCCCCTCGGGGCCTCGGGGGAGGGCAGACCCTCGGGAAACTTACTTTCCCAGAAATGGGTCTCTTCCCGTGGGGGTGGAGAAACCGTTCTGCCGGAGGACGTTCTCACGGGCGCGGAAGCGGGTGCCGTGTTTAATTCACGGGGTCGCAGATTCCTGAACCTGGAGAAAAGTGGGAAGTAGTTCCTAAGTACTGCCTGCTTAACCCCATCTTACTCCCATTAACCCCAGTGGGAACTGGATGGAGCAGGCATTTCATAGATGCTTGTCAGTTGCTGCTGGACACATCACACCCAGGGTTACAGAGGTGAGGAAAACTTCATGGGGAAAGCTTTGGCTCACCAATCTCCCTCAGGGTGGAAGATGAGATGCTAGCTCTCTCGTAGCCCCCTAAAGTGATGCAAGCATTTGCCAGACCAGCCAGCTCACAACCCTGAAAAAGGAAGACTAGTCATTTCTTGTACAAATCAAGATTTGAGGAAGGCTGGCCAGAGCTCAGCCTAGATCCTTGAATATCTAGTCATTTAACTTTACTCGGCCAAATAGGTTTAATAAATCTCCGATCTGAGGTTAATATTAGGGCTGATTATTAATAGTAAGTTCCAGAGAGGTTTTTCTAAGTATCATTAACTAAAAGCAGCCTTGTGGGACAAGCTTTCATACCGTATTACACACAAGGCTGCTAGATTGAGGAAGAAGTTGGAGGAAAATCAGGCAAAAAAAAAATCCACAGTCTTAGTATCTGTGCGGAATTTCAGTTCTTTAACCCCCCACACCAATTAGGGTGAAAGAATAAATATCGCCCATGAAACCAGGAAGAGGATGGTTTTAATGCCAATTAAAATACCCATTTCTGTATTCTAGCTCCTTGAATTCCTGGCAAGCTACGGTTAAAAATTAGTTTAATAGATTTGTATTTAGCGTTGCATTTTTAATGATCACTTCACCTTGTGCGCATATTAAAAGCATTTTTATAAAAATCATCGGCGTGATAATAATTGGAGTGTCCTATACAGAAAACAGCTGCAGATGGACATGATAAAAGCAGGCCAATTTAGGAAAGATTGGGGGGGAAAAAACACCTCAAAAGAGGAAATGAAAACAATTCATTGTAGTTGTAATTCCTGGGGTCATTTTTCATTTATTATGACTTGAATCAACCCAAACCAGGTAAACAGGGATTTCTGCTTTTAAGACCAGTCTCGAAGTAGACACCTCCATTTTCACCTTCTGAGTTCTGGGATCCCAGGCCTGCACTGCCTTGCCCAGCTGCTACAAGCTCTTAGTGGCTACTGTTACATTAAAACACAACAAGAAGTTTTCCACACAAAGATAAGAAATTAAAAAAAAAAAAAGAAGAAGAAGAAATCAAGGCATATGGTCTTTTTTATTTTTTTCTTTTGGCCAATTTTTTAAAAAACCAGAACACATAACTTAGAGCATGTGAGTTATGGTGTTTCCTGAAGTATGAACACTGAAATGAAATTTTAATTCTAAAATGAAATGTTATAAATTTAAGCAGGAATGTGCTTGGCTGTCACTGAATGATTCTCTAAGGATCTAGGTAGATTTCGTGGAGGGGAGGAAAGAAGGATGGAAGGATGGATCTTCGAACACACCTCTCTAGGCTACACGGGGCCTATACTTGCAGAGGTGCTTTTAATGTTTTCATGCTAATTGTGTGTGAGGTCTGCACGCATGTTTTAGTAAAGTGGGATGGGTGGGAACACATTACCAGAAGGCTTTATTTGCTGGTTATTGTCATCATAGAGATACGAAGGTGGTAGGCTAACATCACTGTAAGGTAGGAAGTGAAGCCTCTCACTGTAATCAAAATGCAGGTGTACTTTAACCACAGCGCCACCTCTGGGTAGTCTTTATTTCTGCATTCTTTACTCTCCAAGCAGTCCTTCCCCTTCCAGGTAGCCAGACCTGTCTGTGGTCTCCAAAGTGCCTGCCCAGGAGAGAAACGTGTGTCAGTCTGATTACTGCTGATCCTGAACACACAAAAACGGTAAACACATACAAGCTCTATATAATAAAATGGTTCAAACAGTGGTAAAAACAGATCCAAGAAACAACTCTGTTGTAAAGTAAAATTAACTAGTTCAGAATAATGTTGCATGTCTGTTGGTTTGGGAAGACCTGCTGATGTTATGAAAGTCTGGTACTTTATTTTAAAGGAGGAGGGGAGAGGAGGAAGAGAATCCAAACTGTTTCCCAAGTTTTATTAAACATGAGACCCATATGGATCCTAGATCAAACCTTCATTTTTCCCTACTTGCCCCCAAATTATTTGTCTAAACATTCCATTTCTCAACAAAGTTCTCATTCGTGGAGAGGTGCTCTCTAATGAAAGTTCTGCCAGGAGTCTGCATACAGCAGGAGCTCTGTCTGTACTCCTGATAGGACAATGTCCAAGACAAGCACCAAGGAAGGAAAAGAGACCATGCCGTCAGAGACCAGGGCAAAACTGGCTTCTGAAGGAAGACTTTTTAGAAAGGACATTAACAAGAATGACTGCCCGTCTTCACTCTGGCATCAGAGAGACCCTCAGAACTCCAAAAGTCCCATGGAGTTGGCGTGATGAGGAAGCTAGTTAAAAACTAAGGCAGAAGACTAGACGGTGGGTTACATGTTCCTACTGGCTGGGTGTGGGCCATACAGCACAGTAACTAGGACCTGGGAAAGCAAGGCCAGCCTCGTCTACAGAGAGAATTCCAGGACAGCCAAGGCTACACAGAGAAACTCTGCTCAAAAACAAACAAACACAACAAATATGAGTTAAAACTAAATGTGTTTTAATGCTGGGTTATCTGTGCCTATTGTCCAGGCTGCTTGGGAGGCTGAAGACAGAAGACTGATTGGGCTAGGAAATTTGGGGCCAGTAAGACCTTCAAAAGAAGAATAAGGAGAGAAGAAAAGGGAAAAGCAAAAAGGAAAGCTAGGAAATATAACTCAGTTGAGATGTACATACATACATACATACATACATACATACATACATACATACATACATACATACAACTCAGTTGGTGCAATGTGTAGAGCTTTGTTGGACCCGAGTACTGCATAAACCAGGTGTGGCAGCATACACACGTAACCCCATCACTCAAAAAGGTGTTCACAGGAGAATCCGAAATTCAGGGTCATCCTTGGCTATATAGAAAAGTCTAAGGCAGCCTAAGCCACATGAGATTTTGTCTCAAAAAAACCCACAACTGTTTCAAAAGAAAAGAGGGGAGGAGGAATGAGAGAAGTGTTTTACATGATAAAAGAATGAACAGTTGTTTTATTAGAACATTAAAAAATAATGATTATACGTGCTATATATCCCACCAAATCATTCATGCTACTTAGCTTTAGAAAGTTCTAGCCTCACTTCTATTTCATAAGGGAATTGAAGCCATAGTTCAGAATGATCTTATTGAAATAAAGCAGAACATGGCTATGGAAAACAAGAAAGGATCCATGTTGTTGAAACAGTGCTGAGACTGTTGTAATTGGAAATATAATTGAAGATGTAGATTGTGCTTTTAATTTTTCTATTTTATTAAGGCATGACAGGAAAGCTGGGAAAGGTGATGGGGGGAGTGGAAGGGAACAGATTTGTGCTCTTTTTCCTGACAAGCAAGGTAACTTTAATATAAAAAATGACTCACTTTCTCCATGTTGCTTTATAAGGGTAGAAGGGCTTTAACCACACAGAAAATCTGCTTCAGAACCATTGGAGAATCTTTATTGAGGACTATGCCTCACAGTGACAATTTCTTTGAAGAAAAGTGGCTTCTCCAGACTACATATCTTAGTCTGTCAGCAATCTGTAAGCACCAGTGACATTCTGCAAAGCAATTAACAGACTCTTTGCATGAGTCCACTCTGTGCTCTTTTAGATCTTCTGAAGCAGTGGTCCTCAACCTTCCTACTGCTGCAACCCTCTAAATACAGCTCCTCGCGTTGTGCTGACCCCCAACCATAGTTATTTTTGTTTCTGCTCCATAAGGTAACTTTGCTACTGTTATGAATCATGATCTGAAAATCTGCGATGCAGGATATCCGATATGTGACCTCTGTGAAATGGTCATTTGATCCCTCGAAGGGTCACGACCCAAGGTTGAGAACCACTGTCCTAATGGTGTAATGGGTCAACAGGTGATACTT